TGGTTTGGGCTGTGAGCTATCAGTTCCCTTCATCTCAGCTCCTCCAGAGACAGGTACAGTTGCCTCTGGTGAAGCCAGGCCACATGGCTGATTCAGTCCACTAAAATCTGGACGCCGATTTTTAATCAAGTTCTTCCAGCCTATAACCCTGTTAATTATTTTCTAAAAGATAAATGGAGGAGTCTACCTTTATCCTTTTATACTTAAAAAGCATCTCATATATGTTGACAAATATAGTAATATATTTTGATCTTTACATGGATCCACAGAGGAAGGTTAAGAATGGTCTCTATTTTATGGAAAACACATGTGAGTCAGAAAGGTGAAGTTACTTTAGTAATCTGCCTAAGGTCACACACTAATTAGTGACAGAGCCAGAATTCCAATCCAGCTAGTCACACAATTTCTAATATTTAAAACCTGAGTTTGTCCTGTTCCATGGAGAGCTTAATGAACCTTCACTTTCCTCATTCACATTTCATCCAGCCCTCTTTCCCAAATGTTTGTCATTGCCAGTGTAATCACTCTGCCTGTGTCTTGATCTAAATCAGAGATCAGCAAACTCGTTGGAGTTCTATCTCATTAGACTGGTCCCTTGCCTGGTTTTACAAATAAAGTTTTATTGGAACATAGTCATGCACGTTTATTGAAAAATAATCCATGGCTGCTTTCATGGTACAATGCTAGAGTTGGGTAATTGTGAGAGAAATCTAAGGGTCTCCAAAGCCTAAAATATTATCTGTCTGGTCCTTCATAGAAAATCTCTTTTTTGGTCAGAGATTTGCCAATCTCTGATCTAAATCATTGATGAAGAGTTGAACCAAACATAGAGATCTACTCTGCTGCCCAACACTGGAAATCTTTGTCAGGCAGCTTGTGATCAGCACTCCTTGTAGTCAGTCCTCATGTAGAACCAGTATGTAAGGACAGTCTACTGGTACAAGCCAATCTATCACTATCTTCTGTATGTCACTTAGATACTTGGTACCTACCTTTGGTAGATATAGGCACCAAATATCTATCACTTTCTTCTGCTTCTGAAGATGTCTCTTTCCTTCTTTCTATGAATGTCCTATTTCAGAGGCTGAGTGCTGCATTTATTCACAAACAAATATTAAGTCCCCACCATTAGGCTCATTGCTGGGCACTAGGCAACATTTCTCAAGGGTGATGCCCTAACACTTTGGCCACAAAGTGATCTGTGAAGCATCTACAGTCAACACACTAATAACAATAGTTAAGTTCCAAAATTTAGAACTAGTTATGAAATAAATAAATAAATAAAATAGAGCCAATTCAAGTTCACAATAAAACATGACATAATGCATAGAAACAGTTAAGGACCACAGGGTTAAACCAAACCTGCCTCAGTTTATTCTGCCTGCACGGCCTTGGGCAAATTACTTAACTATCCTATGTTTTAATATCCTCATCTATAAAATGGGGATAATAATAGTACTTGTCTGAAAAAGGTTTTATAGTGGTTGAATTAGTTAAATATATGTCGTTCATAAGAGACAGCTTGACATGTAATAAGGGGTATATGAATTAGCTATTGTTATTTATTGAGTGTTTACAATATGCAATTGTATGCTAAGAGCCTTGCATAGATTATCTTGAACCTGTAACCCTGCCATTGTCACCTGATTTGTGATCTGCTTCTACATGACAAAGAAGGAATTAGTTACAGCTGGTGTGTGGGGAACTGTAGAACCCACAGCCTGTCTTATCTGTGCCATATTCAGAAACAGATCTTTAACTGGATGATATTATTACTCAAGTGCTTGGAAGAAAATTCTTTTTAAAATAGCACATACAAAAAAAAAACAAAAAAAAACAAGTGCTTAGAGCTTAAACCCAATTTGTTTAACTCCCTCTTAAAATTTGGAAGTGGGGGGTATTAAAATCTAGGTATACCCTTGAGAGTACTTCAACCATGTGAGCATCATTCGTCATGTGTATCCTTGAAGAATAATCCTTGCAAATCTCTTTTCTGGGGTACTTAGAATCACATTTCCCTTTCAGTCCGTCATGAGTTTCTTCATGTGTAAAAAGCTAGTCTCCCAGGTTTGTTGTGAGGGGGAAATAAGATACTCCATGTAAAAACTGTTTCATTCAGCCTCTGGCTCCTGACGTGCAGGCTACTCTCGCCCCCAGGAACCTCAGCTTACCTGCCTTTGTCCCTCCAGGTCCCTACTGTCTCAGCAGTCAGAGCCCAAGCCTGGTCCGGTCCAGCAGCTCAGCCAATTCCCCAGAGAGTGAAACAAACCAACAATTAGAATCCTGGGCTTAGAATGTGCAAATGGATGAGCCTCTGATGCCAACATTGATGGGAACTTGGACATAGAACTCAGACCTTTTGGAGTCAGAAGGGGCCAGGTAGGTGGATCATGGAGTCCAGTCCCTCCCTTACTCTGGGCTCGGTCCATACCACTGCAAACTCTACAATGGCTTGGGGGTCCTGACAAAGCCAAACAATGCCACCACATCTCATTAACCATCCACCGAGAGCTCCTCCACAAGCAGCTGGGTGACTGGGACTGTAATGAAATTACACTACCCAGGCACAAGAAGTAATAGTTGCTTTCCACACAGAATGAAAGTGGGCTGCAACTGAATTGGCTTCATTTTAATGATTCACCGATTTATTTATCTCAGCAGGAAAAATGCTGCCTGGAGTCCGCTGGGATGCAATTTCCAGAGCTGCCTCCTGGCTCCCTGGACAGGTGCATGGAGAAGAGTTAGACTCCAGTGACAGAACACACCCTGGTAATAACAACAGCAACCATGACCCTTTACTGAGCACTTACCAGGTGCCTTAAAGATGTTTCCTCATTCATCACTTGGAGCAACCCCCTGTGAGGGAGGTATGACTATCATCCCCATTTTCATTGCAACCAAGTCTTAGAGATACTAACCAACTCACTGAAGGTCACACAGTGTGTGAGTGGCAGAAATCTATTAGAAGCCAATTCAGCTTGGGTTCAGAGCCTGCAAGTCTAACCCCTAACTCTACTGATTCCCAGGATGCAGGTGTCTCCAATACCCACATTCTCTTATGGCTAGGTTGCAGGAAGGGAACAGATGGGAAAAAAGGCTGGAGAGGAGCTGCTGAAAGTTCACTGGCACCATCTGAGCCAAGGGTGGGTTCAGGAAACCAAGCCCTAGCTCAACCCTTGCCCAGAGAGGCAAGAGTTAAATGGGAACTGAGCCCTTACTTTCTTGTGTTCTAGTTTCTTTTTTAAACTATACTACTGGGAACGACTACAAGACTTTCTTGCTCCTTATTAAAAACAGAAAATCTGTTTAGGCAGCAGCTACAGCACAAAGGCGGATAGATATATTATGGGCAAAAAAGAGCCAAACTACAGGCAGGGCAACATCAATGGAAGCAGGGCCTGCGGATCTCTAATTAAACACAGTGCCTCTCTCAGGTCAGGAAAATCACAAACAATAGCGATCCTCTTTCCCTGCAGTAACACTGAGAGAATGTTTTCTTCAAGGGAAGAGAAGAGCTGTTTGCCTGCCTGCCTGCCTGCCTGCCTTCCTGCCTGCCTGCCTTCCTTCCTTCCTTCCTTCCTTCCTTCCTGCCTTCCTTCCTTCCTTCCTTCCTTCCTTCTTTCCTTCCTTTTCTTCCTCCCTCCCTTTCTTCCATCCTTCCTTCCTTCCCTTCCTTCTTACCTTCTTTTTCCTTCCCCCTCTCCTTCCTTATCTTTTTTCTCTTCCTTCCCCCTTCCTTCCCTCCTTCTCTCTCTTTCCTTTCTCCCTCCCTCCATCTTTTCCTTACTTCCCTTCCTTTCTTTCTTCTTTCTCTCTCGTTCCTTCTTTCTTTCTTTCCCCCTTACTCCCTCCATCCTTCTTTTCTTTCACCAGCTCACTGAAGATTCTGGTTTGTGACCAATGGGATTGTAATTCCAAAAGAGAGTAGTAATTATTGTGCTTTTTCTTTTCAGGGAAAGGGGCATGAATCCACTTCACAAGAGAGATATCAGCTAAAAATCTAGAAACAGGAAGTTGTTTATATTGATCTGACTGTAACATCAGCCGGACTTCTTACCTTCGAGGGTTTCCAGGTCTCCAGATTATCAGTATGCACACACTAAACTGAGACTATGTTCAAAACACTGTGGAACTTAATCCATAATTGTTGACTAAATGAATAATTATTAGAAGTAGTAGAACTCCAAAGTCAAGGTTATTCCTGCTGCCCCAGTGTTTGATCTTGGAAGTGGGATTGTGTGTCACTTTTAAAATGGGTCACAATGGGGAAAAGGCTTAGGTCTTCTCACAGTGCTTCATATATGCCCTCTGTCTAAGAACACATTTTCGCTAGCTCTGAAAATTGTTCCATTATATTTGAGGGACTGTCAAAGTTTGGAACAGGGCTTAAAGTTAGGAGAGCACCCTTCTCCATGCTATTATAATAAGTGTCTCCTGGCATTTCTTTTGTCTCCTGGGGAACAATTGGCAATCTCTAGAGACATTTTTGATTGCCACAATTGATGGGGTGCTACTGGCATATAGTGGGTAGAGGCCAGGGATGCTGCTAAACATCCTACAAGGCACAGGACAGCACCTACCCCAACAAAAAACTGTCCAGTTCAAAATGCTACATGCCAGGGTTGAGGAAGCATGGGCTACCCTGCTCTGAGATGCTTGTTGAAAAGATGGGGATACATATATCAAAATGAGAACATTTCTCCCTCTTTTACATTTCTTCTCCACTATCAAAAGACCCATTAAATTCTGTGGGATATCTGTGCCCAGAGCACTGAGAGAGCCCATGGGGAAATTTGAGCAAAGATCAATAATAACCAAAATGGGAACAACTCACATTTGTATATCACCTTAGTGTTTACCAAGTGCTGTCTTATATGTTAACACAACTGAAGCTGTGCTGGGGAAGGAAGTTGGAAAGATTTCCCTGAGAATATTTCCCATTTTACGCGTTTCCAGAATTAACGCCTTAAAACAAATTAGAAATAGATTAAATGAGGTACCTTTGGTCAAACAGAAAAGCAATTACATGATAGGAAATTGTAATAATCCATCACAGGCATCTGGTTCCGAATCCCAGAGCTGGTTGCAGTTTCTTCTGGCATCTGCTGCTGAATGCACAACTGCAGAAAGACAGTGCTCTTTGTCTCTGAGATGCAAAGATAAGAGCAATTGCCCTGGAGGAGGTGTTAGAAGCAGAGACCCAAGCTTTCTTAGTGATAATTCAGGAGCACCCATCATTCATTGAGTGTCCATGGATTGGGCTCTATGTGGCCTTTAGGGTGGATGCTTCCATGCTTATTATAAGTTCATTTCTGAGCATGATATTTTTGAAAGGGGAGGATTATTAATTACTTGCGTGTGATAGCTAAGGAAACTGAGAAGTTATACAACTGCCTCAGAGAAGACAGCTAAGGACAACTGGTAAGCCAGGATTCGAACACCGGTGTGTCTGCTCCCCAATTTATGCATTTGCTATTATATCAGTTGGGATCTATGAATACATGGTGCCTGGCACCCAGAAGGCACTGAGTAAACAGTTGTTAATGTCATTTTTAGAGAAAAAATTAAAGAAAGAAAAATCTACTGACAGCACACACACACCCCTCTCTTCTTCGGTGAATTTCCCACCCATGTTAAGGGAGTATGCTTGGTTTCTCTTCTTATTCAAAACTATTATACCAAACTAGCTGCTTTATTATCTAGGAACCTGAAAACGAATTCCCTATTTTCTCATGTTTACATACATGGAAGCTCTGTGAACACTGGGGTATTCAAAGTTTTACCTCGTGTATGCAAATCTAAATATTTTCACTGCACCTTCGCAGTATCTTAGATGCAATCATTTGTTTGTTAAAAACTTTTATTTTGAGATAATGGTAGGTTTATATGTGGCTGCAAGAAAGGAGGCCAAAGGGGTCCCAAACACTTCCACTCAGTTTTCCCCAATGGCGACATCTTTCATGACTATAGTACAAGATGACAACCAAGGAATTGCCATTGGCATCCATCACACCTGACTTAATTCAGATTTCACCAGTTTTCTGTCCACTCGTTTGAGTATGTGTTTAATTCTATGCAATTTTATCACATGCGCACTGATTTTATTTTATGGCATGATACGTCCTCATGTGACTTCAGTATAAATCAAAACACAAAACAGTAATAAAATACATCTCTAACGTAGACACAGTACTTCAATTGATTCATTGAGGGTCATCTCTATGCCAGCCACTTTTATTTAAAAAAAGAAAAAAAGAAAACACAGCTCCTGCTGTCATAGAACTTGTAATCTCATGGGAAAGGCAGGAATGTAGATAATTATGGGACCAAAATGAGTACAAAATGAAAAAAACACCCTCTTAATTAGTTGCAAAAATAATCAAGATAAATAAAATTATATATTTTGGTGCTTATTATGTTGCCTTGATCCCAAAGTCACTCATACCTTTAACACTATCTATGTCTTAATATATTAATAGCACTCATGTAACATATGTTTAAGATTTTAAAATATTAGCTTTAATGATCTATCAGTATGCTGTCTGTGTATCTTTTCCCATTGCAACAATTCAATTCGATATGTTGAAACATAAAAATAAATCAACTTCGGTGTCGGTTAATTCATGCATACATTTCCCCATTTCTTTATTATAAGACTACATGGAATTCCACTAAATGACGTGTATCTGTTTGTGCTTGATTAAACAAAAGTACTTGTCAGAGGAAGAGGGAATATTTGGCATATTGGTAGGTGCCCTTTAAGCTTTTATAAATAATAATAACAGTATTTTATACCCACATGAAGGCCTCTATTGGGAGAAGCCAGAGAAAAAAATGTTTTGTAACTGACTAATGTCATGTCTGACACACTCAATTTCCCACTGCAGGGCCTGGAGGAGAGGTTGTGTGTATGCGTGTATTTGTGTGTTAAACCACTTCACCTACAGCTGAATCTAAATGAATTTCTTCTTTGTTGCTACATCTAGCCCGCTTTGTCCTGGAGTATGTTTCTAACTTAGTGTTCAGGAACCATGTGAAAATTCTGGAAGATGTTGATGGAAAAAGAATAAGACAGCAAAGTATTCTGTCTCTGTGTCTACTCCAGCTCCATTATTGCTAGAAAGTGGAAAGTTAATCCAATGCAGCTGTGACTGTGAAGGCTCTAAGGTATCTTAAGGGGAAGCCCTTTCGCCAAGATCACGGCACACCCTGGAGACCTGTCCTGGATTAAGGCATCCATTATTGAGTTCCCGCTCTGTGCAAGGCACAATGTCAAGTGCTGTGGGGAATTACACTAAAGAGGAAAAAAAATCTATCAACCAGTAAGCAATATTCACCACCGATTACAAACAGGGCAATGCACTAACTTCTGACAATACAAACAGCTCTATGAAATCATCTCCACCTTTGAGAAAAGTACAGTCCAAATGAGAACTCAGGAATGAGACACGTTTCAAGGGTGATATAAGAATGGCACACTTGCTTTCAGAAACAAAACAAACCAAAACATATGGTCTAAGCTGTAAGTACTGTAGGAATACCAAAAAGAAAGGAGGAAGATGAGATCCAACTCAAGGAAGAGTTCTTGGACAAGGTGGAGTGTGAGTTTAGGCATTGAAGGTGAGTAAGATTTGCATGCATGGGAGAGTAGGGCAAAGGGCAGAGGTGAGAACTGTCAGGTGCTAGATGGTGAGGCCAGAACAGAGACCCTGCTTTTTGGTATCTGAGTCAGACAAGTTGAGATTGGATTATTGGGCCCTCGCTTAAGAGCAGTGAATTGAGAAAGTCCCTTAAAGTTACTCTTAGAACCTCAGTTCCCTTAAGTGGGGAGATGATAGTTCAGTGGGAAGAGGATGGTGCCTATGGGTTAGAGTTATAGTGTGAATATCTGTGAAGTTCTTAACATGTCCAATCAGCACTGGAGGAAAATAGTCATGGGGCATTGGGAAAGAAGAGGATGAATGGATAACAGAAGGATGAATAGAGTGCAGGGTGGCCTGAAGCCAGTCAGGGGAGTTGAGCCTCTTTCCCAAGCTGCCAAGGGTCTTCTGAGCTAACCTAACAAAAGCAAAACAAATAAGCATATGTGCATAAAATATGTTAACAAATAAAAATGTATTCACAATCAACAAAACAGAATGGAGAAAAGCTCTGAAGTATGTGGTTAAGAATTGCAAAGGATAAATGGCAAGAGGGATGACTGGATTGGGCAGGAAAGGTGACCAGAGGTAGGTAACATTCATCAGGCAGAAGAACTGGATTACAATCCACATCCCCCAAATTCAGAGCTTCAGCCTAGCAGTATGACTCTTCTGATCTCGTATTAGACAAGACCCCTCCTTGGGAAAGGATCCAACAGCTTACTATCTGAGATTCTAGTCAATTCCATGTAATTCCAGAACATGTATTGTTTTTAGATCAAATGTCTTGCTCCATATAATTAAGGCACTCATGTAATTTATTGTCTTAACTGGGAGAGTTTTGTTCTGACAAATGCTAAACCAGATGGGCTGCCAGGAAAATGGAGATAAACTGAAACTGTTCAGCCAAGCCAGGACATGTGTTTTCATTTCATACAACCCACACAAATAATATTCAATTTCTGCATGTTAGTCTATTAAGAAACACTGGGAAATGGCTAGACCTATTTTTGCCAAATTTGGAACTGCCTGAATTAGAATATTGGTTTCTGCAAAATTTACACTGTAGGGTCTGAGAGACACTTAAGTGTGTAGACCATCTTTCTCTGCAGCATCTGAAACTTGATTATGAGCAGTATTGGTGACTTCCATTTGAAAGGAAGTTCCCATTGTCTTAGGACCAGCAGTAGATAGAGAAAGCAAACAATGATTTCAAAGATCAACCCCAAATCTGAAGCACCAAGGACAGACTGGCTACCCCTACTAAGCAATGGCAGTGGGAGGCATAGCAAGCTGTTTCTTGATTATGACGCATTTAAGACAAATAGTTGTAGGACTTATCTTCTTCACAGTAACACAGTAAAGGTAAAGGTCAACTCAAGAGTTATTAGTTGTTAAACAATTATTTTGTACCAGGCCCACTGATAAATTATTTTCTTTTTTATCAGCTATACTGAAGTACAATTGACATACATTAGACTGGACATACTGATTTTTGAGTATTCTTACTCCTAGTTGTTCATCAAGTATCTGATTTATGTGTGTCCCGATCATGGGACAGGCAAAATGTAGTGTTGGGGACTAGTGCAGTTTCAGGGGTGCAGGGGGGACCTTGCCCAGGGCCTTGGGATTCTACGTGCAGTGAGCTTTCCTAGTAACACTCTGGACTACTCTTGGGCCCCCTTCACACTTTACCCTAAGAAATATGGAATCAGCTATTTGAGAAATTCTGGAGGAGCTACTAAGAAAATCCAACTTGGTTTTATTCTCTCTTCTTTGGGAGAGAACTGTCTGCAGAAAGGATTCATTCTCTTCTCCATACATCTTGATATATGGTATACAAGGGCAGGGCCTGGAGGCAGATGGAAGGTGTGTTACCCCTGCTCATGACGGTGAGAAAATGGTCTCCTCTGCAGCCCCATAAGGGAAATCTCACTTAATCCACTCATCTAACAACCTATTTTCCCACCTAGACTTCACTTCTATAAAGAAAATTTTCTATTTCTACCTGATTGAGTCCTTTTATTTTCAAACAAATATAGGGATGAAGGGTGATATTTATCATGCTTTCTCAAGTCTAAACAGTAGGGAACCTAAGAAATACAAAACAAAGTCCCTGACCTCATCGCTAGGTTATAGAGACAAATCATACATACACAAATTAACTGAGAATATGTAAAATATGAAATTGTTAATAATGCCTTCTAAAAATATAAATGGTGCAAATGTAATCTTTTTAGTCTTCAATTTTCATCCTTTTTATTCATATGTGCAAGAACTTAATGTATAAAAATAAAACAATTTTATCAGAGTGACTGTGAATGAATGATTCTTTTAATTTTTGATGTGATGTCAGTGTATAAATAAAGGGAATAACAAAAAGTGAGAGAAGAAAGGAGGAGGGGAGGGAGGAAAGAAGGAAGGAGGAAGGGAGGAAGAAAGGCAGGAAGGCAGGAAGGGAGGGAGGAAACCTT